CAGATCAGTTTAAAAGATGTAAAAGCCAATCATCAATTCCCATTTCAAATCTTCAGCCAATCAGATCTCATTATTTCTATCGATTTGATTCAAATTAGATTTCACCTATCAATTACCACGTCTTAATTTATCTCAATTCTCCCGCCATTTTATACATAACAGTGTTTTACTATAAAGATACAGTCTGAGATCTGAGTAATGGTGTTTCTATGTAGCGGGAGAGTTTGGCAGGAATGAGACTGGCCCACCCCAGTTTCAAATTCCTTACCATTGAGATCTTATGCCGTGTGCTGTTTGCCCCCTTTAACAATTCTGTGAACCCTATTCAACTCCTCTATTAAGATTGAAATAGCAAGAACGACCAAATAATTTCTAGAGCTACAGATCACCTCATGTTGCCGACACATGTTTTAGATACACAACCCTCATCAGCGAATTAAAACTATAGGAGTGAGAAGGGAACAACGATTTATGGAGACTATTGACTGCCGACACGCGTTTCGGATATAAAATCCACAATGGACTGAAACTTATAGACGGATGAAAAACCTGGCATCACCTTCTTCTTGACAAAACGACAGAAATGACAGCAGACCAATATAAAGGAAAGCAGTCTAGTACAATGAAACAGTTACCATAGGGACTGGTTGAACCAAGTCCATGAACCCCTACCCCCAGAAACACAAAATACAAAATAATAATATATATATATTAAAGTGACATAGTATTAACAACAATAGATGTATCCAACTAAAGCCCACGTGTCCCCACTCTGACTCGTATTGTTGAGCTACTGTTGTTGTATCTTGTATCTTGATACACTAGAGCTGTCAATTTCTAGAGACATTAATAAACTAAAGATCTGGTAATATCCATGGATTGTTTTATATACATGGTTTAACATCATCAGATTGATATAACGATCTTATTTCGCAATATGGACGTGAAGTGTCATCGAAGTATTTTCTGCCCCGAGGCCACCTTGCTATCATGTTTATATTGAAGCTTGGCCAACCATTAGAGAATGTCAATTCCATGAGAACCTTTTAATATTTCCTGCAAATTCCAGAGTTTTGTTAGATTTCCTCGCAGACTTTGAGACTGGTGATTAACAGGAAATTGTTTTCTAGAAACTTATATTTTAAATCAAGGCCAAGTGTAAGAATGTTTGGTTTAATTCTAAATTTATATTTAAATACTGGACTAGATTAAGTATATTTTACAACTCGAGGTTTAGTTTGAAAATTTTAAAGTGTTAACTGACAGACAAGGTATGGATATTGTAGAAAGAGTAAAGCGAGAGAGAAGGTAGATTTAGTCAGATAATCTCAGGAGAGAAGACAAGAGAATAACAATGATATAAAAAAAATTCAAAACTTTAGTAAATTGACTGGTAATTTGTGGTTTGGGATTTGGATACTAGGAAGGAGATTATTTTTTACATACTGAGTGTTATAAAAGGGGTGAGATTTTGAAGTTGAGTTTACGGTGTTCATAGATTTTTAGATATATTTTATTGTATTTATACATAATATTACATAATATTACAAAACCATACGAAATAATCCTTGTAAGACATTTAGTAGTTCTTAATGATAATACATAATATTACATAATATTACATAATATTACATAATAATACATAATATTACAAAACCATACGAAATAATCCTTGTAAGACATTTAGTAGTTCTTAATGATAATACATAATATTACATAATATTACATAATATTACATAATAATACATAATATTACAAAACCATACGAAATAATCCTTGTAAGACATTTAGTAGTTCTTAATGATAATACATAATATTACATAATATTACATAATATTACATAATAATACATAATATTACAAAACCATACGAAATAATCCTTGTAAGACATTTAGTAGTTCTTAATGATAATACATAATATTACATAATAATACATAATATTACAAAACCATACGAAATAATCCTTGTAAGACATTTAGTAGTTCTTAATGATAATACATAATAAATATAGAACTGGAGTTGAAATTAAATTAAATGTTATAAGAAACTGATAAAATATTTCATAAAAAAATAGAGTGAAAC